AAAAAAAAAAAAAGATTAGGTATCAGATTTTTTCCAAAAGCAATTAATTAAAAATTCAATCTACTTCTTGAAAATCATTTAAAAAATTTAACCAAAAATAAAAGGGTAATCTCATTTTGAAATGTAATCAACGAATCTGCTAACTACTTTAGCTTAATCTTTTTTTTTACAGACTCCTTAATAAACGTAGGATATGCGACCTTCAAAAGAGAAGATTTATATCCAACCACAAAAAGAGGAGATTTATTGGGATTTTGATTCCATATTTTTTATTGTATTCCTAAAAAAAAAAATCAGAAAAACAGAGATGCTAATAAATAGCGATTTTGTTAATTTACTATGTTTAGACAATAATTAACGAAATTGGCGGAAAGTGTTTCTAAAAGTGAATTATGTTAATCTTTATTATATATTGATAGATTAACATATATGTTAACATATATGTTACTTTCACGTAAATACTAATATATATATATATATATATATAAAAATTATTTCTAACAATTATTAGAATATGATTGATTCTTAAAAAGAATCTTTAATTGACGATTATTAATTAAATATTTTATATTGTATTTTAAAAATTTTTAAAAATACGTATGGTAAGTGTATTTCTTAAATTAAGTGTATTAAGTATGGTAAGTGTATTTCTTAGATTTATTTTGATTTTGACTCCATATTTTTTTATTGTATTTCTAAAAAAAATTAGATAAAAAAGATATGCTAATAAATGAAGTTGGCGGGAAAGTATTTCTAAAAGTGAATTATGTTAATCCTTATTATATATTAATAGATTTAATTTTTATATATGATCTACCAAGTTAATCATATTTTAATGATCTTCGATTTGACATCCATATTGCAATATAATATAAAAATAATTTAATATATATTTGTAAATAAAATCAATTTTATCATCAACTCAATTCAAAAACATCTTATAACAATATAAATTATTTACAAAAATAATAAAAATATAATTCCTTAATACACCATAAAATAATCATTTTATTATTTTTTTTTCATAAATTTTGGATAAAATTACATAAAATAAATACTATAAAATATAATTTCTCAATTTAAATAAATTATATAAAAAATTGAATGTTATTATGTTATTTCACATAGTAATTAAATATAAAAGAATATAAGAATTGAATATAATAAAATAATTTTAGATTTCATAAAGTTAGAAAATAAAACATTCCTACATATATTCTCAATTATTAATTATATGAATTAAAATATTTGAAAATTAATAAACATAAGACACCAACTCTATAAATATATATAGTCACAATTTAAAAGAATTTGTTTTATTTATAAAAAAATGAATTAAATATATGAAGTTGTAAATAGTATCAGTTGTATACATATATAATTTTAAAAGTATAATTAAAAATATCTTTTTTTTTTTGACAAATTTAGTGTAAAAATACGGGTACCATTTGAATTAATTATCATTCTGTTAGTTATTTATGACTGCTGCATATTTATCATACATGATCTCCCAATAA